ATATATTTATATATATATATATATATATGCAAACTGTTGCATATACGCTTTCACCGCAGAGGGTTAATGCTCTCAGTGAAACGACGTTCCTTGTACTATTTTTTTTTTCTTTTTTAGGAAAAAAGAACTGTCCTTGAAATTTGACTCTGATCACGAACCGATTTGATGATATTACATTCCTATAAGAGTTCAATAAACAGATCACATTGATATTAGCATTTCTTCTCACGATTGTTTAACTCAAATCTAACTCAAGCATAAGAGATCATATTCCAAGATTCTTTATATTTGCATAAGCATGATATGTTAGAAAGTTAAGCTCACTGTCAGACAGAGAAACATATTTTAACTGTTAATCCATTTTGAACAGATATGTTTCAAAAAAAAGTTCATACGCATACCTTCATACATTTGTGTTCTGTGCGAAATGTCAGTCAATGATAACGAAACAGCAGAACTTTTTGAAATAAATTAAATTTTCATAAAGTTTTAATAAGAATTTTAAGCACGGTAAAAACTTTACTAGCCAAAGAGAGCTGTGCAGAGGATTTTCTTATTTTTAAACTTCGCAGTATGCAAATTTTGGGTTTGACGTCAAAGACGACGCTTTAGCTGCAGCGAATTCGATTTGGCTTTCAACTTAATATAAGACAAAGAGTAAAAAATATCTGCTTGTTTCAAAAATTTCTGTTTTAGTTCCCTTCATTTGAGAAAAAAATAATTTGAACCTGCGGAGAATCCGTCATAATTGTGGGAGTAATTTTATTTTAATTTCAGTATATCTATATTTAATGAATGTTGACTGTTGATGATGATGTGGGGGGATCTCTGCTACTCGCTTTTATCCCCCTTGCTGTAAGGTATATCTTTTGTGAGTTGAGTTGTTGGTGGTGAAGTTGATGACGATGAGATGGTGAGAGTGCACGTTGCTCTTGAAGAAGCGAAACAAATTTACAGTAGAGATCAAAATTAAATATTTTTCCAAAACACTTTTGGAGAGGTTGATTAGATAAAATTAAAATCTAGCATTTGGTGGTTCCAATACTTTTGGAGAAACACGTTCATCAAAACAAAATTCTTAATAATTAAAACAAACTCCTTCCCAAGCGCT